CCAACCCAGTGCGCAACGTCACAGGAACGTCAACATGCCCCCCCCACCCCGTGCAACGTCACCAGCATATAGCACAACGTAGCATCCAACCCAGTGTGCAACGTTGACCTATATGTGTGAAACGCAACGTCAAGATGCAACATAGACGCATACATATATATATTCTGGGAAAGTGCACAAAACATCCAAGAAGCAAAAAACGCAAAAACGCACGTACGGTTTTAGAGCCGTTAGCATATACATGATGCCAGCATAGACCCCAAACAGTTTCAGCCTCTTTCTTGCGTCAACTCCTTCAACTCCCCCGTTGGTGGTAACGTCCGTAATTATACTATATATTCCTATAGCCTCCAGCTTTTGGGGAACGACATGTAAACAAAAAAGTCTCAAACCAATTGAAAGCAATAGTTCCTGATTCCCGGGTCACATCTACAAAACCGAGGGGATATGTCATGAGAAAATCCGAGGATGATATCAAATTCGAAAAACTGTATCACTGTTGCATTCATAGCCACAAAAAAGGATACCCAGACAAGGCGGTGGAGAAAGGGAAAGCGGGACATGGCTCGGAAAGGCTGGTGATAGAAGGGCCGACAACGCGGACAAGCAGGACAGACAGACCCGGAGAAGGCCTCGACGCACCCACAAGGCGGTGAAGCCACAGCACCCGGCCCACGCGGCCAAGCAGGACGGACGAGGCCAGCGCGGCAACTAGCATCACCAGCGCAGGACGACAGGACAAGAGGAGGACACAGGGTTCAGCGCGGCCAGAGTACAGCAGGACAAGAAAAGGACAACAGGACAACAACCGGACACAAGGTTGCACCTACGATTCGCCACTGTGGAGTGAATAAAGCCATAAAAACCTACCAGGATAGTCTAAATGTAAATTTGAATTTCCTTGCTTATCTTTCTTTCCATAGTCCAAGACTAATTCTAGGAATCCTCAACGAGAGAATAATGCGTACATGCTCGACTTGAATGTAATCCTCTGACATAGACACCAAACAACCTTCCTATATGTAGCTACTAGGAACAAGTGCCACGCTAGTAGTAACAAGTGCCTTACTAGTAGTAACAAGAAGCTAGTAGAAACAATAAGCTGTCATCCTAAAAGATGTGCTTCCGAAGGGCTTGACTTTGCTGAGCAAGTGAGAAGCCTTGCAGGACCTGCACTGTGTGAAATGCCCCGAAGGCTGGCTCAACCGCAAGTGGCAAGACAAGTCAGCAAAGTCCCATGGCTTCAAACTGAAATGCTACAACATGAAAAGAAAACAAATGCTACAAACTCCCACAACTTTGCCTTAGTACAATTTTTCCATTCGACCGCATATCTTCCAGAATGATTTGCATGCTGCATGCTTCGTGTCCTTTTTGCGTTCTGGCCGAAATCCTTTGGCTTTGTGGACAGGCTCTAGGACGCGGCTAAGTGTGAAGACACAAAGCGAGTGCCAAAAGTAGCTTGGAATAGAAAGGCGAGCAAAGCTATGTTGGCGCTTCGGCAGCTAGTCACCGTTTTGGAGAGCAAAGCGCCGTCGCAGTTGCTAGACTCGCACGTGGCAGTTACTGTCCAAGCCCATGGTGTTGGGCCGCCTCCTCAGAGGTCCTGGCAGTCTCGAAAGACGAATGGATTGCAGCGTTTACAGCTTACTTTTTGCCAAAGCCACCATGACACCTACGAAAACTTTGGTGCTTGCTGTTTGACCCCATCATGTCGTGTTGCTTGGTTCCACTCCTTCTTCAGAAGCGCTCGCACTATTCATTTGGTTCCTAGATGTTTAGAAAAAGAACATCTCCCCTACTTCTAGACATCTAGGAACCCCAACTGCCTTCCATCTCGGTCCTTGGCCCTTCTGTGTTCAGCTTTCCAGTCCCTGGCCGAGGCGTGGTCCCTTTGGGAAGCGCCAACCGCGCTTCCAGCGCTGCGGCCGCCCGCAGCACCGCAGCATCAGCACCAAAAGGCGCCAGCAGCTGCAAACCTACTGGGCGCCCGTCCTGACAGAACACACAAGCCGTCTGACAGCGCCTTATTCGGACTGCTTGTGGCAACAGCGTCTGCAGACGCTGTTCACGCAACACGGAATGAAAAGAACCATGAAGCCTCCAAGAAGCCGCAGGGCAGCACTATCGCTGGACATGAGAACCTCACTCTTTGGGATCTGCACAGCTCACGCTCCCCTTTCAACAAAAAAAGGAACTACCCTTCTGCTTCACACAACCACATCAGCTGTGAAGAAATACACCTGAAACGAGAAAGTGCAAGAGTCTTCACATGCCAAGGAACACACTCACAATGGCTGTGGGCATCATCCAACCAAGATAGTTAGTAAAGCATTGACCAAGCTGCTTCGTGGGGTATCGCACTGTGGCATCAATAGCTGCATCCAGTGTAGCTGGTACGCAGAGAACATCGATGGATTGGAACATCTCCTCATGATTTAGAAAGTCGCTGCGACTCCTCAGAATCTACCGGACAGCGTGTGTGCTGTCAACTGGTCTCAGAAGAGATCCCTATCATCATATAATATACATCAGCCTCCTCTCGCATTCTGCATTGGTCGCACTTGAAACCTGTATTGGTCAGATTTGAGGAGGAATTGTGGAAGGATGAAGAACTGTTGCGAACATAAGGAATCAATACTTTTGGTTGAGGAGCCCCAGGAAGCTTTCTAGGCGGGTTGGCGAAGCTTCCCAAAGCCGCCAAAATCTATCAGTTGTGCAAGCTAATTTCTGCATGGTCCATCTGAAATACCAACAACAAGTCACTGTAACATCACAAGCGTTATTCAACGTGCAAAAACAAACCAACTCAGTGAAACTCCTGCAGCTGCCCATGGAGCAGTTTGAGATCCTCGCGGGCCTCGTCCGCCTGACGGCACTCAAGTCCTTGGCCTTGCTGGATATTCCTTGGTTCGCTCGCGGATGCTGAATGCGACGCCCGAAACAGCCACCGATCACCGTGAAGCCGAGTGTTCAAGGCGAACTGAGAGATCTGATAGGTGTGAAAACGTGGGTCCTCTAGCCGAGAAATGGCGGAAGAAAATAACAAAAGGCTTCACCGATCCAATCGCTGGGGTCTTGCAAAGACTGACAAAACAATTTGCTTGTGAAATGGTTAATCAAGTGAAATGCTCTGTCCAGCTTGCCCTAGTGTCCAACGGATCTCTGGCTTCAACAAAGCAGCCTGGTCTGGATTTTCGAGCTTCTCCCCAAAAGTCTCTGCAAATTGCTCTGCACGTAGTGCATGAAAAATGCGCTCAGCCATCGGGGAATCCAGTTTGTCTTCACCAACTTCTTGAACCTCAGATTCGTTGTTCAGTAGATGTGCGGCGCTCCGGCACAAAGATTCCACCTCTGGAGCATATTTGTAGCCCAAAGTGGAAAATCCAACTTTCAGCCCCAAAGCTTTGAGACCTTGTTCTTGACCCGACACCGCCGCTTCCTCAAAGGCTTCACTTGGAAGATCCACGTCCCAACCGTCTCTGGATGCCATGGCATCTAAGAACAATCCCACATCTCGGACAGAGCGCCCCATCGGCCCGGTGATTGAATGAAGACCCAACATTGGCCCACCAACAGCTGTTGGTGTTCGACCTGGCGACACACGGAAACCGACACAGCCGCAGAAGGCTGCCGGCATCCGTAGAGAGCCACCGAGATCTGTGCCCGTGGCCAACCAACACTGATAACTGGCCAGTGCAGCTGCAGAACCTCCACTGCTTCCACCAGCTGTTGTACGAGTGTCCCAAGGCGAGACAGTGGTGGGAAAGAGCGAGTTGAAGCTCTGAGAACCTGAGGCACAACGAAGCTGTAGCTACAGCTGTTCTGGGAAACTCAACAAACTGCCTCCAACAAACATCAACAAACTGCAAAAAAAGGATTCCTTCTCGTCCCGTTCTTCCGGTACCATTTCTCGCCTGCACAAAACTCAGGGACGTTGGTTTTTCCAACGATGATGGCACCGTTCGCTTCCAGCTGTGACACCACAGATGCGTTGGTCTCAGCTATCCGCTCAGCGTAAAGCAGCGAACCTTCGGTAAAACGCACGCCTTCCACAGCGTGAGTGTCCTGAGGCAGAAGTTCGAAGTTGAAATTGGGTGTTGCAAATGTTGTTTTAGAGCCCGCTCCCCCCTCCTTAATTAAGTTGGCGCCTACTTAAGTAAGTAAGGGAGAGGTAGCTAGTAGCTTACTCAAGCTACTAGTATGGACGCAGAATAGCTCACGCTTCTTCAAGGAAGCTCCCCCCGCCGCCCTACTTAAGGGAAGCTTCCTTGAAGCGCTCGCACTAATGATTTGGTTCCTAGATTTCTAGGGCAATGAAGCATTTGCTATCGTTGACCCTTGAGGTTTGAGATGTCCTTCACAAGAATCGGCAGGCCAAACAAAGAACCCCGACCAGAGGAGTAGCTGCAGGTGGACAGCTTTCGAGCTTTTTCTCTCGCACGTTCAAAACAAGTGATTGGAGTAGCATGGACCAAGTCATCGGTTGCCTTGATTCGTTCTTCGACAACGTCGATCAGCTCCAGTGGAGACACTGAGCCAGCTTTCAAGAGTGCCACAATTTCATGGGCCTCGAGCAAGTGGAGCTCTCGATTCATTCGAAAACGTCCAAAGAGCTTTGCAAGGCTCTTCATCGGGCTGAACCAAAAGTCTGACGGAAATGGAAGGAGGACACAATGGGTGTGCACAGCAAACAATGAAAATACTACACCACTGCAGCCGCAGCATAATTCCTGCAGTGTGCCTCCGAGTTAAAAGCATCGAGTTGCCGTTTTGGCACCAGAAAAACGCGATGGTCCTGGTGGGAAACTTCAGAATTGATCACGAACAATCAGCTGGGGTTCGTGTTTGATCTTGCTTCTTCGGTGCCATGAAACTGGAAGCTTCTCCTGGGGTTTCTCCCAAACGTATCGACCAGCCTCGAGGCAAAAACGTTTGGAACAGGTTCGAACAGCTGTTTCTCAAGCACTGAGGTGCCTGGACACCCCAGTGGTCATAGACTGTGATGGACACATCAGGGCCACCTTGGAGATGCATGTGTCATCTCAGCTGTGCCTACAATCCCTCGGTCCGAAAATCTCAGGCACTCGCACAGTTGAAGCAATCTCAAAGCGAAGAGGAGGCCAACCTGGTGATTAACTGGTGGCTCGGTGCCATCTCACTTTGCACCTGGTCACTGGTGATCTTGACAGCTCTGCAGTAAGTGCTGGGTTTTGCGCCGGCCCCCCACCAAGCACCTGGAGTTGTGCGCCGACCACCCCCCAACATCCACATGCATCGAAACATCCTGCGACCAGGGCCCCGGCAGCCACTTCCAAAGCCTTGCGAGGCCTCGGTCACAGTGAAGAGCAAGCTGCTGTGTGCTGGTTGATTGCCACAACTCATGTGTTTTCCGCGGCCACTCACTGCGGTGCAGTGCCCTTGCGCATGGAGACGTCATGACCAAGGCAGAAAATACGACATCACGGTTGTTTGCTGTATCCAAAATGGCCTTGAACCCAACGGGTTTCGAGCGAAATGGGCAAAGGCCATGTGATGCTTTATCTGGCAGGAGTGGTGTCGCTATCCGGCATCAAATTAAATGGGCTGCCCTTGCAGCTTGATTCATATATATATATAATGTTCCTGTGGGCAAGCTACATGGAACCTTCCAAAACACCCAACTCGAACCCTGAGTCTCTGGCGCATGTGCTGCAATCAGATTGGAAGAGATGCGGGTGTGCAACCTTGCAAGAGACGTATTGGTCCTTGCAATAGACCATTTTCGACAGGATGCTGAGCATTCTACGCAGCCAGGCGGAAACCTGACGCCTCGAGGTGGCCAAGAGCGAAAACACTGAATATCACCGAAGGCTGAGACCGATTTATGGCCTTCAGAAGAAAGGGAAGCTTCTAGAAATCTGGATCTTATCGTTTCTAAGGAACACAGTGTCTAAACCGGTCGGATTGATCTATATTCAAGGAATGCCCACGACTTTGAGCGGAGCAGCAGGAACTAGCCCTTAAACATGTAGGCAAGCCATGGAAATACCAAAGCAACGTGTCCAAGAATATCTCTATAAGCCTATTCTGACAACGAATCGGAACATCTCTCGGAACCATCCATGGTCATCATAGTCACACAGAATCCGCCCCGTGCCTTCTGCAGGCACTGCGAAAAGGCGGACTGTGAACGCTTGGAAGCGAAGTTGACCTGAGATGCCAAGTTTCAGTCATAGAAATTCTATAGAATCAACTTGAGATGATAGGGATGAGTCATACTTGCCGACTGAGGCGACTTGAAAACATCGCTCATCCCAATCACACAACGGTTTATAATGCCATCTCAAGCGCACAGCGGTCTTATCTTGAGCGGTGATCAGGCCCAAGCAGCTCCATCAACATACCTTTGTCGAAGCACATTGAAACCAGCCAAACAATGGTGCCAAGCGTGTAGTGGCTTGTGTGATCATGAGTCATGAGCAAGCGACTCTAGCTGGCTGGTACAAACGCCACCCATGCTCTGTTCGCAAGCTTCTCAATTCAAGACTGTCTGACACTGTATCTTCAAAACATACAGAACGCGGTAGGTTAAGTTCCAATCAAACTTCAGAAAGAACAATATATATTTATATATAAAGCACGTGGGAATGCGTTGCAAAGTCGTTTAGAAACTCTCAGTTTAGCCGTGCTTTCTCAGCAGTGATGTATGCTTCATTCACGTCAGCAAGGCAAACTGCTGCCGAATAGAGGACTGAGCACTGACACGGATCTTCCAACCAAGCATGCAGCCTTTAGTTTGCTCAGCTAAATTGAATTCATGACTTCTGTTTGTACCTTGTCACTTTTGCCCTGCAGCGCAACAAGCAGTTCCCCGCAGACTTCTGCCTTCCGTTGAATGATAAGACAAGCAACGCATATTGAAACTGTCTCTGCATGGAATGGAACCTAAAATATATCCCGGCCCCAACAAACAATAATAACAGATCAAATCATATCCATGATGATTTCATGTAGGAGTGGAAGCTAAGAATGTAATTCAACGAAAACAGAGGAAGGAACCAGGCTAAGCAACTTTGGCTATGGTATCGGTATTTGTATGCAGCAACCTTGAAAAACAAAATCTTGCTCATGTCACACTTTGTATCCCCATAGTTGAGACATGTAACTGCAATACGAATGTTTACAAAAATCCTATATATAAATGTGTACCAACTGCTGCATTGACATTCCTTGACACGCTCAATGTCGTTTCCTGCTCAAGAGTCATTGATATCCTCGAGCTGACTGCATTGAGGGCCTTTAATTTAAGGTGAAGCTGGTTACGTCCGGATTCCATCCGAATGATCCTCTCTGGGTTTAAGGCTCCAATACGCAAGTGCGAAGCAGCTCCGACTTTGTCGGGCAAGCTCCACTCTTTGCGTGACGGAGCATTCTAGCAAGTGAAGGTGAAACGTCGAAAACCACCTCTCGTGATTCCAGGAAAGGAAGGTCTGACTTCGAATCAATTCATGCGGATGCCAGGTAGCAATGGTACCAACTGTTCACCGTTTTGTACCTAGGCTCGCTGCGGACTGTCACACGACTGGAATGGACGCGCAGCTCCCAGCAAACACGTGTGCTTTTGGATGCTTTTTGGACGTGTTTAGCATTATATGTTGAAAATTACTCCATACTGTATGGATGAGTAAAGTCTGAGTTTTCTGTACGTTGTGCGATGCACTTTGGACTAATAAATCGTCATATAACTATACCTGGTCTTTATACATCCGAAAGTTGCCAAGACACGCATGGAAGGCCACCGCACCTTTGTTGCCACAATCAGATCCCCAGCAGCGCGCGTCGCGTACATTGTTGTTGTAGTCGGAAATTGGCACTACCTGCATTGGAGCACAAGCATGTCCAGAAACTACAAATTTGTGAGAACATGCAATTACTATTGCAGTCTGCAATTGTTGACTCTGGTTGATACGGGGATGTGCATACATTTATATAAGGCCGTTGAAAGAACGCACACCGCTTGCAAATGCCAAGTTACCCCCAACATCTTCAGGCACTCTTGCATGTACCTCTTCAAGGGCCCTTTGGCCGAAGTGTGCAAACAAGCAAGTGACACGCAAGTAAGAAACCGAAGCAACTGAAGCGAAGAAAGTACTCACAACTTGAAGTGAACTGTGAAGGTCTTGCCTGTCTTCACCCCAAGACCAGAAGGGAAGCGATTGCTCACAACGAGCATGCGAGTCTTTGTATGCCCCCAAGGATGCTTTTGAGAAGACCTTGGGACGCGACAGAGGCGCGAGTTCTTGAGCAACCTTCCCAAGAAGACCTTTCCTTTCCCTCTTTGTGTTTTGATGTAGACTAGGTGTAGCAAATTGGTGCCAAAGCGCCTCTACTGCTCCATACATGGCTGGCGCATGGACAGCACAGTTCAGAAAGAAGACGTTCCTTGGAAATGTTTTGAATCTCTCGGCATTGCTCGAACCCTTCAGGACCAAAAAAGGATGATTTTTCTCTCTTGATTCATCACTCGTCAAGGGCTTCGGTGCTGCGAAGGACAAATCAAGATATTGCTTCGGTGTGCTGACCCCCGAACCTTTCACCAAACATCCGCAAAACATCGGCTGGATCGGGAGTCTTTAGTCTCAGCCACCCGACGTCACCCAACTGCTGACCCCTTATCATACTTATGTCCTTACGTTTCTCGTTCTACGAGTAGGTGTTCTCCGCTGGCCCAAGCGGTGTGTTTGGCGGGAAAAAGCACTGAAGCCATCATGCGAATGTGACCACAGACAGATAGCAGAAGCTAGGTCACTGACTGAAGCAGGATAGCACAAAATGCAACCAAAAGAAACAGGAGGTTGGCAAGGCCACCAACCAAACGAACACCACAGAGAGACCCCCCTGCAAAAAAAACACCAGCTATGACTATCGGATCACTCTTATAGTGACCAGTGGGTCACACCGCAGCACAAAAGGCCATCGACATAGCAGCACCCACCCCGCAGCGAAGCTCCAAAGCGCACCGGCGGCACCTCTTCCTATACTTGAAGCAAGAACCCCAATAGCTCTCGCTCTCTGGGGAAAAGGCTGTCATCCAGATCAGCTCTGGACTTTCACGAGTGGAGGGCACGCTTGATTCGTGTGGTGCAAGGAACGACTTGTCAAAACAGAAAAGGTACTTTTCTACTTTGTGAGGATAGCAGTGCCGATTGAGGAATGCAGAGTCAAATATAAATACGTCAAGGGACTGCCCCACACGTGATTGAACGTGCCAACGCAAGCGATCAGCAAATAGGACGGCATCTGGATCCACCTGCATCAGTTTTACAGAGTGGCTGAAATCCTCAAGACAGAATAACTTCAGTCTAGTCCTATAAGTAACTTACCTCATTTGTACATGTTACAAGTTCAGATTGCAAAGACCGTGTCGACTGCTGCGAATAAAAAAGAGACCTCGTCCAACAGGGCACCACAAAAGTCGAAGATCAAAGCAGCTGGGTGCAGAAATGTTGTCGAGGCATCAACTTCAACTCTGATGTCCTTCATTTTTTGATGTCGCCTTCGCGAGGAAATCGTACGTGTACCAAAAATTGCCATTGAGAATGTCCAGCCAGGTTCTGCCGCATGCAATTTGACATGTCCCAGCAAGGAAAAATAGTATTTGTACATATATATATAGAGAGAGAGAGATAATATAATATTATAATATATATATATATATTCATTCTCTGCAGAACAAAAAGTGTGAACGAAGTGAAAGTAGCAATGCGGGACACAGCTTGGCACTACACTTCGCGCAGTGCAAATCTGGGGCCCCAGTCTTCATGAAGACCTGTGAATTCGCTGCTGTCTGATCAACGCTGACTCCGGCTGCGGTAGAAGGGATGAGTTTGGTCCTCAGGCACTTCTGCCCATGCACACATGGGGTTTGGGCGAATGGCATGAGGTGCAGTGCTTATGTGGACATCACAGTGACAAGAAGACATGAAGGCATAGCGAGAGTCATATATCCATCAATATTAATGCTCTGATCACTGTACACATCATACCTCGGCAAGACAAAGGACAAAAAAAAGCAAGCCTCATAATGTCCCTGGTGCATGGTGCCTCCTCGCTCCCCAAAATGTTCTTTTGGATGATTCTGTTCCAAGCTGCCCGTTGCAGCCAAAAATTCCAGTGCCACTCTGACGCTGCATAAACATTGCATCCTGAGAAGGACGTCAAAATACAGTCAAGTTCATGCGCTTCTCAGGCAGTGCTGTGCAACGAGGGTCCATTTCTTCACCGCCGCGGGCCACTGAGAAGCAGTAGATTCTTGGAGCTGCCGCTGATGGTACTGTCGGGACTGGATATTCGCCCTTAGCGCAATTCCGGCATGCATGAACTTCTTGTCTGTATCTTCAAATGAGCAAAGGCACAAAGTCCACTGCAAAAATGGGACATGAAACAATGTTCAACACCAATTTTGACACGTTGTATATGTTTCCAGGAGCCTCAAAACCTTAGGCTCAATGTTTAGCAGTTTTTTGGACCTCCTGCCGTCAACTTTGCAGCACTTTCCACCGTTCCACCTGGCAATTGCAATGCTTTGGCTTTTGTTGCATGTCGGGCCAGCATTGGCTTTCCTTGTTTGTCTTTGGGTTGCTTGCTTGGTTGCTGGCGCTTGGCTTTGAGTGGCTTGGCTTTGTCAGAGCTGGACAGGGTTGGGGGAAGGGCGCAGCACCAGTGATTCAGTGATTCCGTTGGTCCGTCTGTCCGTCCGTTCTTCCTTCCTTTTTTCCTTCTTTCTGGCTTGCAATTGGCTTGCTTGCGGGCTGGCTGGCTTGCTTCCTTTTGCTTCACTTGCTGGTGGTGGTCCAACAAGCAAAACACACACAGCAGAAACACAACAGGCAGAAAAGCGAAGCAAGGAGAAAGAGCAAGCAATGCAAGAAAACAATTATGCAAACAAGAACTGTAACAGTAACAAAAGAGACTGAACAAATAAACAGAAAAACAACAGCAAAATAGCACAACAACCGGAAAGCAACAAAGCAGAAGCAGCGAACCACAAGTGCTTCTGAAAAGTATATACCTAAAGCCCCCTTTAGGTTAAATAGAAAAATAACTAGAAAATACCCATTGAACAAAGAGTGGACATTCAGTTCAGCGCGACCTGCTTGGTAAATGAGGGAAGACATCTCCGTGGCATTGAAATGACAAGATATGATGAAATAAGTCCCTGGTTGCACCAAACATTGGTTGATGCACCCGATAGCAAATCTCTTGGCCTAGCTGCTGGGCAGGGGCGTTGGCATCCCGCTTGCCTCAGCTTCAGCTCCAACAATTCAAATCCACTCAGACGACAGAACTGCAGATCGCTTTTCTCATGATTTGTTTAACCTTGGATTATTCTGCATTATGTTACGTTGTTGTTGTGTTTTATTCGGAAAGGGTACAGTATGTGTTTTTCCGATCGGCAGCCTCGCGGATGTGCTTTACGTCCAACGGATTTATCTGGCACACCCAACTGCCGCTAAGAAGCTTGTTTTGCCAAAGCCATTCTTGAACCGTATGGCGATTGGCCTGCCTGCGCAATGTCTCAAGGATACGCGAGAATGAACGACTGATTACGATGATTGAAAGTTGACGCCGTCGTATCAGTTACATTGTTCTTGCAGTTCTTGACCCCTTGAACTTGAAAGTTACATCCTTGTGATGTTGTACTTGAACGGTTGTTCGATCAGCCCGATCCACTTGTGCCAAAGCACCTGGGCGAAAAGCAGGAAAAGTGACTGTCAGTGCTGTATGATGGTTTTGAGAAGAAGAAGAAGAAGAAGAACAAGAAGAAGAAGGAAAAAAGAAGGCCCCTTTGACAAGGCCCTCTTTAATGAGGCCGAAAGAAGCTGGCCCTTCCCTTCTTTTTCATGCCACCATGCCACCATGCCATCACAACTCAAGTCAAGGAACAGCACCGTAGCAAGAATCTCCCGGGACTGCTGTGTGACAGTCTTTTGGAGCCTCTTTCTCTTTCGTTGCCTCTTTCTTTGCCTCATTGATTGTTGCATTTTCGGTCGCGTTGGCCCCCAATTCTGCAGCCTCAGTGTAGCAAACCATTGCGAAGCTACGAATACAAATCATTCTCTTGTTTCCACAAGCAAGGACATTGGCATGTGAACAATAAACAAGTTACCAAGAAGGCCAGGCCACTTGACACGAGGAGTTTGCGTTCCCCCCAGCACCAATGAGTCAATAGACTAGAACATTAACATGTGAACCTGAATCAGCAGCAAGCTCAATGCTTAAAAAGTCTGAACTTCGAAGAAGCATTGAGTGGTGCGAACTCTTCTTTCATCGTTGGGATCAGTGTCCGATCCTCAGATGGTGCAGAATCCACGTCATTGTGGTGAAAATTGCCAACGTATACTCCCAAGTCAGTCATTTCGCTGAGTTTCTCTGAAGAGACAAAAGAATAGTGCAAGTCCCAAAAGCAGCAAACCCGTCACCTGGCTCGACTCAGCACTCGCCCGCTGGTTTCCCTCAATATCTAGAAACCGCATGAATAGTGCAAGCTCTTCTTCAAGAAAGCTTCCCCCGACCCTCAGGGGGGAGCTTCCTTGAAGAAACGTGAGCCTTCCTGCGTCCTGCCTAGGAGCGAACTTAGTCCAGTAGCATAGCGATGGCCTCCAACCTACTAGCGATGGCCTCCAAAAAGGTCCTACCAAGTATTATATAAGTTACCCTAAAAATCTAGCAACCACATGAACAGTGCGAGCACTTCTTCATGGAAGCTTCCCCCCTGAGGCGGGGGGAGCTTTCTTGAAGATGCGTGAGCTTTCCTGCATCCTAGCTAGGAGCTCCCTAGCTACTACTTACCTCATCTCTTACAACTCACAACTTAAGTCTACTGTCAGGCGATCCGCCCAAACAAAATATCCCTTGATTTGTCTTCCTTTCAATAAATCCCAAAACGAAATCTCGGCCTGGAGTGCTCTTTTCACTCGTGCACCGTGTGTAACTCGTCCACCAAAAAAGCTCAATTCAAATTCTTCGGCAGACTCCTCCTGACAAGAAACGAAAGCTCTTATACAAACGAACCAAGGAATTCACCAATAGCTGTGCACAAGTGGTGACCAATGCATCTACTTTGAGAGGGCAAAAGGCTATTCTGTGTCCTTGAGATCCTGCAAACGCAGGTCACGAGCACGACAAGCCTCCCCTTTGCGTCGAGCATTTGAACGAAAGAATGCAAATACAAGGGCGATGATCCTAACCTACTAGCGATGGCCCCCAACCTACTAGCGATCGCCTCCAACCTAATACTAGCAATGGCCTCCATCCTAAGAGCGGTTGCCTCCAACCTACTAGCGATGGCCTCCATCCTAAGAGCGATTGCCTCCAACCTACTAGCGATGGCCTCAACCTACTAGCGATCGCCTCCAACCTACTAGCGATCGCCTCCATCCTAAGAGCGATTGCCTCCAACCTACTAGTGATGGCCTT